GTGAATATTGGTCAATTTAGGTAGTGGTGGAGGGTTTGATGATTTTTGGGCAAATTTGAGTATTTTGGGTAATTTTGGGATTTTTTTGGCAATGATCGGTGATTTTGGGCCAAAATGGACAAACAAGCCATGAAGCCATACTAAAACAATAGGAGCTATATGAGGACTCATTTTGATGCTCAATGTGTTGGTTATAACCCTCTTAGCCAAAGACTAGGGGTACAGGGTCATCCAGATGAGCTTTCCAAAATGAGTCAGGAGACCAACCTAAGGGGTCATAGGGCTTAGGGATGTGAGAGAGTGTAGTGTGTGCAAGTTAACCCCACCAAAACCAGATCACCTAGGGCTAGTCCTAAGGTCTGACCATCCAATGAGGGACTCCCCTTGAGCTCCTTCATATTGACCCTACCTACTAAGTGCTTGAGGTCAGGACCAATATGTGGAACTTCAGGTTGAGCAAAGTTTGGAATTTCTAATGGTGAGGGTTCCTTTTCTAGTCCTCTAGGAATAGTCAATAGGAAAGTCCTATGGCTAGATCATAGGCTACCAACAAGAAAAAACTAGACCTCAACCAAAAATGAGGTCAACAGTGGTTCTTGTTCTTTTGTTATGATTTCCAATGCGGTTCCCTTTAGTCTTTTGCAGCTTTATTTTTTTGGCCTGGGTCGTTTGAGTTGTTTTCTTCCTTTTGGTGAGAGGGACTTAGTTTTCTTTTTGTGTGTGTTTGTTTCGGTGGGTTTTAGTCCCTCTTACACACGCTATAATTTATTTTATGGTAATAAACAAGGAGCCGTATAATACTCTTTACTTAAAAAAAAGATCATTTTTAATACAATATGCCCATGACATTTTAGGTCTACCTATTTTTTTCTTAATATAAATAAAATTTAAAATATCTACTCTCCTAACAATATTATCAGATGGTCAATAATTAATGTGACCAAACCATCTAAGATGAGTCACTTTAAACTTGTCCACCACTTGCGCTACACTAACCTTATCAGTGATATATTCATTTCATATTTTCTCTAAGTTTCAAGCCACTCATCCACCTAAACATTCCCATCTCAGCAATACTTAACTTTATTTTAAGCTTCTCTTTTAAAGGCCAAAATTCTGTGTCATAGGGCATTGCAAGTATCACCACCATCTTATAAACTGTTCCTTTCAGTCTAAACAATACTTTGGTCAGACAAAAAGCCCAATGCATTCCTCCACTTCGACTAACCAACTATAATTCTACTAATAACATCCCAATCTATATCACCATCACTTTGAACAATAGACTCAAGATATTGAAAACAATCACACATTTTAATGATTTGATCACTCATAGTTACAACTCTACCAGTAGAGCTACTTTTATTAAAATTATATTCAATGTATTTAGTTTTATGTCTACTCACTAAAAGGCCATTAGACTTCAATGTTGATCTCCATAATTCAAGTTTCTCCTGAACTCTTTTTTTAGTCTTATCCATAAGAAATACATCATCAATAAAAATCACTAAGGTACATCCTTCTATAAATGTCCAGTAAGATCATTCATAGCTAAAGCAAAAGGACAAGGGCTTAAAGCTGATCCTTGATGTAATTTAATTGAAAAAGAGAAATACTTAGTCAATCCTCCTTCTAATCTAACACAAGTAACAACTCTTGTGCACATATCTTTAAAGAATTTAAAAGAATTCATATCGACATCTTTCTTCATTACAACTCTCCAAAGGGCTTCTCTTCAAACCTTATCATAAGTTTTTTTTCTAAATCAATAAAAAATCATATCATATGTAGATCCCATATGTAGATCCTTCTTATTCTCTCTGAACTTCTCCATCAAACCTCTCAATAAATGTACAGCTTCCATATTAGATTTGCTCAGCATAAATAAAAAATGTTTATGAGAAATCTTTATAACAGGTCTTAATCGATGTTTAATTACCCTCTTCTGTAATTTTAAAGTATGACACATCAATTTAATTCCTTTATATTTTTCACACTCTTGTGTATAACCTTTATTCCTAAAAATGGGGACCAAAATACTCTTCATCCACTCCTTAGTCTTTTTTTTAGTTTTAAACTAATATTAAAGTATTTAGTAAGCCAAGAAATTGTCAAATCTCTTAAATTTTTCTGTACAACAATTGAGATATCATCAGGTTTACTGATTTTTCACCCTTAATTTTCTTTAAAGCTCAATTAACTTCTTTTTTACTAATACGACAGTAAAAATAAATTATTTTATTATTATTAACAATATTAAAATCATTAAGGTCGATTGTATTTTTAGAAACTTCATTAAATAATTTATCAAAATAGCTCAACCACCTGTGTTTAATATCTTCCTTTAAAAAAATCTTTTTTTATTTTCATCTTTAATAAACTTTACTTGGCTTAAATCTTTACTGTTTTTTTTTCTTTCACATATATTTCACACCCTCTTTAATATCTAATCTATTGTAGTGATGACTAAAAGAAAATTTTTTAGCATCACAATTTATTTTCTTAGACTCCCTATGGGTCACCATATATTTTTCTGAATTCTCTAAGCTCTTACATTTAAAGCAATTTTTATAACAAAACTTCTTATATTTTAGCTTTGTTTGCACATTATTATTCCATCACAATCTATTATTATTCATGAAAAATTTTCCTTTTGATTCTCCAAGCACATTTTTTGCCACTTGTTCACTAGTGATTGTTACTTTATTCTACATAGAATTTGATTCTTCATGAACATTCCAAGTCTTGAAATCTTGAAGTTTACTCATAAAAATAAGTTTATTTATGTCTTTTAGGTGCCCCATCAAATTTTATGATAATGTTTTCTTATATTTATTATCTTACCGTAAGAGTACATCTTAGATGGTTCTGTTTTTATGAGTGAAGTTAGGGCTTTATTAAAAACTATTTAAAATAAAAGATATTAGATGGTCACATATGGTCGTGTATGTTTAGATGCGTGGAATTTTAGCTTTATTTAAAAACATTTAAAATAAAAAAAATATTATTTTCAATTGATTAGGTTATTCTGATTTATTAATGTTTAAAAATCACCATTTATTTACATCAATAATTAACAATTTTGTGCTTGACTTAATTAGTCCAAAAGAAACAAGCTGCTTGGTGAAATCAAGCTCAAGAGGAGCTTAAATAGAGTTTGATCAATAATATATTTTAATGAATTGAGCTTGAACAATGCCCTAGAAGCTCAAATCGAGCTTGAGCCGAGCTTAAATAGTTAAGAGTATACAAGCTTGAGTTTTATAGGCTTATACTCTGATTGATCCAATCTGTTTGCAACCCTACACATCACCTTCACTAGAGTAACAATTTTGTGGCCTCTATCAATAATGTACTAGAGGAGCACATATTCATGACATATACTATCCAATAGTCCTTTGTAATAAAAGAGGACAACCCACATGAGCCCTTACAGGAGCACCACCACTTATAGGATTGATTGCAACATGCTTCAGATTACTCTACTACAAATTGTGGAGTCATATTAGCTAAATAGAGACGCTTGTAGTAGTAAGAAATATTAATTACGTCACAAAATATTTATCTTTTTCATTTTTTTATAGATATTTAAAATGTATTAGACTTTTGTTTTCATTAAATTATATTTTCTTTCTATTCTTCACTTTTTTATTATTTATTGTGGCACATTTAAAATAAAAATTACCAAATAATATAGGATTCAAACTTTTTTTTTTAAATTCATAGTAAAGTAATATATAAATTATTTCTTCAAACAATTAAAAAAAAATTAAATAATAAGATTATGCATGAAAATTTTAAAATAAATTATCACTCCTATAAAATAAATTATTTATTTTACAATTCAATAAAAAAATTATTGCTTGCATCCATTTTAAAGTTCTCCATAAAAGGTATGTCATTTTTCAGTTTCACTAACTCTAGAATGGGAGTAACATTTGATCATCAAATTATTCAACTAGAAAAATCATGCTAGTTGATTAGGAAATATTTTTATTGATAAAACAAATATTTTATGCAACAAATAATTATATATGCTAGATTTTGGTAATGTTTCATAAATTGAAATAACATATGATAAAATTTTAAAGACCCTAAATGGAGATATCTTTTTGGATGTGAATTTATTAATATGTGAGTAATTTAAGGGTGAAAATGAGACATTGCGAGAGTGATGGAATTGTAGAATAACCAGTTAGTAGCAACAAGATTATATTTTTGTTTATTTTGTATGTTCTTAAACAAATGAATATGGCTTGGCTTAAAGCCTCTAAAATTGGATCAGAATTATGGAGCTTGGTAAAAAAAAAAATGATATAATGAATATGAAATTATGGAGACATGTGCATAATAACCTTGAGTTATATTCTTATATTTAGAAGAAGAACCAAAACTAAGTCCAAGGAATTGATTATCTAAATTATAAAATAACAGTAACTATTTTCTTAAAATCAATTATTTATAATCCTCTTCACATATTAAAAAATGAAACATAAAATTATATGATTTTAATATATATATATATATATGTAAAAATAATTTAAAATTTACTTCTTAAGAAATTATATAGAAGGCATATAAACAATTTTAAAAATTATTAATTTAAAAATGATGAGTTATAGAGCTCTTAATATATTAAGAAATTAAACTTAAAATTAAATGATTTTAATATATATATATTTAAAAGGTTATTTTAAGAAGACTTTAAAACTTATAGTTTCAAATTCAAATACAATTTATTAATTATATTATACATATATATTACCAATTTAAATAACAAATAATTCTTTTGAAATGCCATAATTAAATTAAATGTTTTAAAATAAAACTAAAAAACAAATAAAATTTTTAAAAAGATAACCGAACTATTTTAGCTATTTAAATGACCATAATAATCTGGTCAAACACTTTGCCATCTTTAAAAGGTGATGATATTAATTTAAATATTTTTAATTAAAATACCTATTTCTTAAAATAAAAAAAAGACGGCGCTCCGGCCACTTGAAATGGCGGGAATGGCCAGAGCGGGGCTTCAGCGGAAGCAGAGCTCGAGGAGCTTGGCGCAGTGATGTCTACCTCCGAGCCTGATTACTTTTACCTCCCACTGCGGGATGCCAAGAAGTCGCTAAACATGAGGATAAATCTGATGGCAAAGGTCTCCAAGATCGGGACGGTTCGAAAATCCAGAGGCTCCGGTGCGTTTCTCCACCAACCCCAGCTTTTTCTTTCCATCTATTCTGGGTTTTTGTCAGGGTTTTCGCTGTGGTCTAGGGTCGCAGTTTCAGATGACTAGGTCGAAGCGAGAACTTTTGGATTCATCGGAGTTCGCTCTTCATTGAAAGTTTTCTTCCTTTATTAGGTTAATAGCATTTTATAGCATCTTGTCTTTACCAAAGTAGATGTTCTTAAGTTACAGTATTATAGTTTTTAAATCCTTGCATTGATGCTTATCCCCAGACTAGCTAATTGTGTAAGGGAAACTTGTACAAACATTTTTTTGCCTGTTTGATGAAAAATGAAAAAAAAAAAATTATGTTTCGTTTTTTATTGTTTCATATTTTACCATTCTTAATCAACTAGGATGGTTAAAATTGAATATTTGTTAAGTGTTAAAGTTTCCCCTAATCACCTTCTTCTTTCTCTTCTCTCTTCCCATTCAACACTAATCCTCCAGCGCAAGACTTTAGGAGCTTTTGTTGGTTAGCACACCCACCCTCATAAATATATCACACATAAGCTATAAAATGCAACATTGCTGAGATAAACTCCGGCCCAGAAGAGTTGTGGATGGATTATGTAAAGGACTTCCTATGATTTATTGATTTTTGTCTTTATGGATTAGATAAGCTTCATTTAACCATCAAATATTTATTTTTGACTACTAGAAATTACATGCTGTTGGGATGGCAGCTAGGGCATTGATCGATTAACAATCAAAATTACTCTACAAAAAAAATAACACTGATTTGAGAGATCATGAACAATATATTGAATAAAAACACACACAACAAAGAAATCTAGAGAAATATCACACAAAACTTTAACGTAGAAAAATCCGAGAACGAGAAAAAGTCACGAAGCCACATCACACAAAAAATCTATTATAAAAGGAGAAAATATATATTTCAACACTCAGATTTTTCTTTCTACACCACTACAACTTACAACAATTCTAGACGCTCCTCTTTCGATCACACGAGAGAAATCACCAAAATCTGCACACGAATGTCCCATCGAGAAAATACAACACAAGAGATAGACGTTGCTCCGAATCATGGGATTTAAGTCCTACAATGAAGAAACTGTCTCGGTACAACCATGCTGACAACTGACATAATTATTTCACGCGCTACTCTCTGCACCGGAATGAGCGTAACACTAGGGTATCTACGACCGGTTGCGGCGTAGTTACATTGCATGATATTGTCCTAGCTTGTGTAGCTATGCCGGTATTACATAGGTGCACCTCCTTTTCCCTGTTGCTTGGCTTCTCCTTCAGACTCCACTTCTTAACATCTCCGCCTTGGAAACTGATAATGCCCAACACCTATTCTTTAAATCTGTACCTTCATCTGTATCATCTTCATAGTAACGTACAATAGTACAACTCACCTCTGTTCTCAACCGTCCTAGATTTCACATGAAGCCAAACATAGTTCTAGTTTCTCGATAGTCAGCACATTAGTCAACATATTTGCAGGATTCTGAGCTGTATCTTTTTCAAGAATAACTGTCCGTTTTCTAGGAGAGAGATTATAAAGTGATTCCTCAACTGAATATATTTTATCATGACATAAAAAAAAATGTTCTTAGCAAGGTAAATAACACTCATACTATCATAATGAAGCTTTCTAATGCCCTGCAGTTCGCCCAATTATGTCATAAAGCATTGTAACCAAATCATCTTCTTGCTGGTCTCAATGATACCAAGTTTTTCGACTTTTGTAGTTGAGAATGCAATAATCTTTTGAAGCTTGGAAAGTCAACTCACCGTTTTGTCCTCCAAAGTGAAGATATACTCTATTGTACCTTTTCTATCATCCAAATCTCTTGCCATATATGAATATACAAATCCTTATAAAAAGATCCCCGCACTTCTAAAATAAAATGTTATATTAATTGTTTCCCTCAAATACCTGAGAATCCATTTCACCATCTCCCAATAATGTTTTTTGAGATTACCCATGTACCTACTGACCAGTCTCACTGCATATGCAATATCTATTCTCGTAAAAATCATAACATGCATTAAACTTTCAACTACCGAAGCATACAGAGTTCTGCCCATCTGTGCTTGTTCTGCTTTAGACTTAGACAATTGTTTCTTAGATAGCTTGAAGTGACTACCTAAGTGGGTATAATCTGATTTTGTCTCTCATGTTGAACCCCTATAGAATTTTCTCAAAATATTCTGCCTGAGACAACTTCACCATATTTGCACTTCTACCCATGTTGATTATTTTCCTGATGATCTTTTTGGTTGGATCTAAATCATTCATTTCAAATTTCGTCGATAATTGTTTTTTAAGTTCCTGATTTTCTCAATATCTGCTCCTGCAATCGACATATCATCTGCATACAAAAAGAGTATGATATTACAATTACTAAATTTTTTATGAAGTAATGGTAATCTGCCTGACATTCCATATACCTAGTGTATGACCTGAATCTGTCAAACCTTCTATACGACTATCTTGTGCTTCAAGCCATAAAAACTTTTCTTCAAGCCGTGGACCAGGTCCTCTTTTCTTGGAGTCTCATAACTCCTCGATTGCACCATTTACAGTTTCTCTTCCACATTTCCATGTAAAATGGTTGTCTTTATATTCATCTTCTCCAGATGCAAATTATCCTCTGGTACAAAGCAAAACACAACTCTGATAATTGTCATCTTCATTACAGGAGAAAATAACCCAATGTAGTCTACTCCTTTCTTCTTTTGAAACCTCTTCACAACAAGCCTTATCTCGTAGTGTTTGCTACTATCTGACCCCTCTTTTAACCTGTAGACTCACTTGTTGTGTAGTGCTCTTTTGCTATCCGATAATACTGCCAAATCCTATATTTCATTTGACCTCAAGTACTGCATCTCATCATCCATGGTAATCTTCTACTACTTTAATTCTTCAACTTGAGTGGCCTTCTCATAACACTCTAGTTCACCAGTATCTGTTAGCAACAAATATTTCAAAGAAGGATAATACCTCTTTGCTAACCTTGAGAATCTGTTAGACCTCTTAGCTTCAGTAACAGTTGACTGAGAAACTTCCTATGCTTCATCCGATTGACCACTTCTTTCTTTACCCTCCTGATCACCAGCATTTTCTATCCCAACATATTTAGACTCTTCAAAAGTACCTGACGGGCAACCCTGAGTTATGCTCCTGTCCTTCTACATCTCCATTTCATTGAAAGAAACATCTCTACTCCTGATGAACATCTGATTTTGATATTCCCAAAATTTATACTCATTTTCATTCGAGCCATACACAGTGAAAGTGCAGTTGATAGTTTTTGAATCAATTTTACATTTGGACTCTACATTAACGTGAATATATGCATAGCACTCAAATACTTTTAGACGAGAGAGAGTTATTTCTTTGTCACGCCAGGCTTCTTCAGGTTAGCCTTATTTCAAAAGTACCGATGGACCATGATAAATCAAATAAATAACAGTGTTCACTGCTTTTGCTCAGAACTACCTTGGTAAGCCTATATACAACCTCATACTCCCGACATTCTCTATGATGGTTCTGTTCATGCGTTCAACTACTCTATTATGCTGTGGAATCTTTAGCACGGTGAACTCATGCATGATTCCCTCTATAGCGCAAAAATTTCTAAATTTTTAATTATGATACTCGCCCCCATTATTTGATCAGAGACACTTTAGTTTTGAGCCTGTCTTATTTTCCACATATCCTTACAGTTCCTAAATAAATCAGATTTTTTTCTTTAAGAAGTAAACTCATGCCTTCTTGGTGTGATTGTCAATGAAAGTGACAAAGTAGTGGAAATTTTCAATGAATTGAATTAGAGTAGGATCTTATACGCTAGTGCACACTAATTTAAACTTCTTTGACATCATCATAACCCACCATTGGAGAAATAAATTCTCTTTTGCTTACCATATACACAATCTTCATTGAAGTCTAAATTCACATATTTCAAATCCTGAAGCTTGTTCTTTGAAATTAGAAACTTATGCCTTTCTTGCTCATCCGACTAAACTCGTGGTGTCAAAAACTTGCATAGATTATGGTTTTAGCCACATCAATGGATTCTACTATCTCATAGATTAGGTAAAGTGTGCCTTCAATGTTGTCTCGAGCTATCACCATTGCCCCCTGATCAACTTTCACGAATCACCTATGAAAGTAGTCACGTACCCTGACTTTACCAGCTGACTCATCAATATTAAATTTCTCTTCATATTTGAAACTTGTCTGACTTCACTAAACTCTTAGACTGTTCCATTTAACAACTTGATATCAAATTTATCATTTTCTACTATACTATAAACCTTGTTATCCTCTAAACAAACTTTCTCTAGATCATTTAGGGTGTAATTTTAAACACCTCTTTAGTGGGGCGGGCATGAAAAGCATCACCTGAATTTACTATCCAAGGTTCAATATTGACTAGGGATAAAACTTATGGGTCATCTTCGATTTCCCATGGAGAGACATTTGTAGAGATATTCCCGTCTTAACCTTCACCTCTAGCTTTCTTTGGAGCTCTATAGTCCTTGAAATGACTTTTCTTCCTGCAGTTCCACGTTCTCCTTTGATCTGTCTTTTTCCTGACTTAGACTTTCCTCTTATAGACTTGAATTTGTATCTGTTTGTATTCTTCTCTAGATTCTTTCCCCAATTTTCATCATTCAATGCAGAACATGAAGATTCACTATTCACTGCCTTTCCGCGAACTTGTTCATTCAACACGAAATCCACGATGCCATCGATGTTCACCTTCATATACTTGAAGAGTTATTGTCGTAACTAATCCATCCCGACTGTTCGACAATGAAGATAGAATTAATGGTACTTGAACTCATCATCAAATTTAATTCCCACAATGCACAATTGGCCAGTCACATTATTGAAATTGTTCAAGTGTTCAGTCACCGAACTGCCTCCTGCCATCTTTCATATTGTTTATCAAGAAAATTTTACTTAAAACAGAAGATTTTTCG